CGTACAATAAATATCATTTTTGTATTTGCTTTCTTTCATGGTATTGCAATTTTAATGACTAGCAGTATATGAACATAAACTCTCCTACAAAGTCTTGGCAATAGTTTTAGAATTTCATGAAAACTCATTTTTGAAACTTTAGGATTGATTTTTTTCTTTAAATATCCAAAATTGTTTTTTTTTCTTTAAATATCCAAAATTGTTTGAGAAAGCCTATAAATAGGAGAATATAAGCGGCGGAATTAAATTCGCACTCTTGCGACTGTTTTTAGCTTCTCGATCGGTTGACATGCTACTTCAGAATTTATTATACAAGCAACTTTGTAATCTGCGAAAGCTCTCACGTATGAAGAATTTCGTTCAAAGAATTTGTTTACATTTTTAGGTTATTTATTGCTGTTAATTTTGCAGTATGAAACAAGAATAAATGAAAGCTTTTTGTTGATCTGGCTTAGTTAGTTATGAATGTTTTACGAATCCGTCACTCGCAGAACGTTACAGATTTAGAGAAACTAGACTAAAATTGAAATGTCAAAAAAAGTCAGATTTAATTGCACTTCAAGTTTTAATATCTGATATAAAACATGTGTTGAGTAATAAGAACTAAACCACTGAGGTCATAACCTCAACCTATATGTCAGTAGTTTTATGAAAACAGAGAAATTCAATTAGAAAACTATCTTCTCTTCGAATAGCAGTTATAGGTATGAGTTTATTACCTATTTCATTAACTGTATTTACACGGGAATCTCATTGTTTATCTTCCGAGTTCTTTGATGAAGCTTTAGACTTCAGAAATATTAAATTTCTGAGATAAATACTAAGAGCAACCAAGTGCCAAGATATGCTTTCATGTCTCACGTGGTCATTTTCGATTAATCTTACTTAAAGTTTTGTTATATCTGTATCTGACCTTATTTTATCGACATGCACTTGTAGAAAGAGTGAGATTATTCCGAATACTAATAACAGTATCTCCCTCTCACCCCAAAAAGGTACCAAACGTTCATTTTAGATTTGTGTTCTTATGGTTCTTGAGGTTTAGTTATAATGAAAACGATTTTAATTAAAGATACTGATTTTCTAAAATGAATCTGGTAAAGGCAATGAGCAATAATTTACGGATTAGGACTTTATACTATATTACAATAATAATAGTTTCTGAAATATGCCAAGTATAAATGTATACACATTAGAACTTAGCTCTGAAATATGAGCATTAGTTGTATAAACGTTTTCAAGAATTTCGCAAAGTAAGCAGCTAAATTTAAAATACAGATAAATGTATGGTAATTCGTTTCTTAGTTTGCTTTTTGCGTAATCTGTTTCAAAATAACTCTACGAGTGGTGCCCGAACTAAAAGGTTGTGGACTACAATCTATCATTTCCAGGACGACTGGATCCCTTAAAGCCCAGCCGCTCTTTAAAAGGGAGAATATATGAGGTGTTTTCTCCCTCGTTTCCGCATGACTTTGCTGGTGTAACTGGAAGCACATTCGGTGCGTATTCGGGAGGTCCAGAGTTCGAATCCTCACTGCTCATTTTTCTCATCTCACACATAAAAAAAACTAATGACACTACGAAGTATTTTCTTAATAAATGACCATACTCTGATCAATATATTTCGGAAGATGTTATGTATTTTGTAAATATTCGGATTTATTTGCTTATAATTTGCGTTTTACGAGTTTATTTATTGCTATGCACTTATCTTTATTTATTTACTTAACGCATTTTTACAGAAATTTTGTGTTTATTTATTGCTCATTTTATTGACATCGAATTTGCGACTATTTGTTGTAGGTACATGTTTTATTCCATGCACTGTGTTACAGAAATTTTAATTGTGAGTTGATTAATGACTTGTGCAATCTGAAATACAACCAGATATATGAGTAAGTCTCCTATGAAGTCTTGGCGACATCTTTCGAATCCTAAATAAATTTAGTTTCATTAAATTAATATAAGAGTAATTCAGTGTCAATTATTCCATATAATAGTAATAGAATACATTCAGTGCCATTCAATTAATATAAGTATTTTTCTTATAAATTATTACCTGATACTACATCAAATTCTTATAATAATAACTTTTTTTGAAGAATATTATGCACGGTAAAAAATAATTACTGTTGTAAACGCGTAGTTCAGTTTTCAAATGCATGTTATACTCAACATTGTCTCTACAGTAAGATATAACACCGAATGTTAACTTCGATATTATTCCTTTTGAACAATATTACTTTATGCTTTAACTGACAATTCCTAAAATGAGTCCGTGTTGCTGCACCATTAGATAAAGAAACATTTATACCAGATAAATTTAATATGATATCATTACGCTGCAGCTTACACCATAGAGTAATCACATCAGTTTCTTCAATAACACGTAAACTAAATCAGTCCTGGTCGTTGGTGTATCTACTAAGTAAATTATTTCACATTCATTGCTTATAAACAAGTCCTGTAGGAAAATGAGCATAACTTACGAGTTTCTGAAAACGTTTTTTAGAGTTTTTCTACTAAACACCAATAATTGGCCCTGACAAATTTCATCTCACAATAGCAAGCATTTACTTAAGCATTTCAGTGAATATTTTTATAATTTACAGATTTGATAATTTACTTAAAAAATATTTTTCTGGTATTTCAGTTTTTAGTAGTTTAGCAGCGTTCAGACAAATTCTTGACGTATAACATCAATTTTTATTGGTATAATTTAACAGTGAAGGTCATTTCCTTAGGAGTGGAATTTGAAGTTATTTCCTTAGGAGAGATTTTGTAGTTAACTGTTTTTTCATAATATACAGACACTGCTTACCTTTATTGCAAAACTGAGACTTCTTACCTTTAGTGCAAAATATGCATTTAATGATTCTAGAAGTTGAAAGAATGAAAAAAGGCTGGTTTGGAAAAGTTCGAGAGGAATGATTTTGGACTCAGTAAGCATTGTATCTTATTATCGCTTTGCTACAACGGAATTTCAATTGAACAAAGTTGAGATCAGCGACTTTTGCTATAAAAGAAAAAATAATTTAGAAGTTGAATTTATGCCCCGTCCAGAAAATTGTGTTAGGTTATGAAAAGGAAAAATAAAATAATTGCCACAACAATCTTTTGACATCTCTATAAATGCAATTATTCGTCTTGCAGGACGGAATGGCTTTACTACATGAAGAAGACAGAAATCGTTCCCCGCCCCTGAAATTCAGAGAATTTTCTTCAAAATAAAGGACAGTCCAAAGTTGTATATTTCTATTAGTGTATATTTCACGTCAGCGTACTCTCGTTCTGCTTGCTACACTGTTAATAAGATTATCAGCATCCAGCAATGGAAGTGCGAAATATGAGTACAAGACAATATTAATAGAACATCTGTAAAATTTATAACACATCAGAAATGAGTTAAAACAATTTCCAGTTCTTAGGACGTAATTTTAATTTAGGAATTATATAATATATTAAAATTATACTATAAAATGTTTTTTGTTCATTCTTCTTAAGCAATAAATACATGAGAAGCGGATACATGTATTTCGCACTAAATATGAAAAAATTCAATGTGAAACAAGTAGAAGATAATTCATCACAGTATAAAGAAATTGTTTTCACCCCAGAAATATAAATAAATTTAATTATATATCATGAGTTGAAAATTTTGCTTTGCGTAAATGATAGTACAAATTCATAACATATTTTGATACATTTAGTGTCCTGATTTCGAAAATAATCACCACATTAATTTTTAATTTGTTTATAATGTATTAATTATCAAATTCTGTAAATATTGAATAGCGAATTTAGGGAAATAGATATGAAATTTAAAAAAAAAGTATTCATAAATTTTACCTGGAATAATATTAGACAGAAATTACAGGGACTTTTGACAAAATAAAAAAAAAAAATAAATAAAAGCTAATATAATAATAAAAAAAAAATCTGAAATGTTTCAGATTTTAAATTACGTCCAAAGGGGCGTTTTTTTAACATTTTGTGTGTTACCTTTCTTTATTAAATATCATGTTCCTCGCACTTAAACCATAAGATCCAGTGCAACAGCAATATCGCAAAATAGTTTTAAAACGAGCATATCTTTAGAATTTCCGATACAGAGACTCACGCGTAGGAGATAAAAATGTTTTTTCTGCACAACGTTGCCATTGCTCGCTTTGAAATCCTTGAGTTTGTTAATCAAAAATTCGTCAAAGTTTTAAAAAATAGGAAATCGATCATAAAACAAATTTCAAATTTCAAATTTGGTCTTCCACATGCTCATATTCGTTGGAGGATTACGTTATTCAAAATTCGATGACTCTATGTACCGTTATTTTATGACAATGTGAGAAATATACATACATTTACGCAGATTTTCATTTTTTCATTATTTAATTTCTTCAAATATAATGCAGGACTCTAACATTTTATGGCAACAGTTTGAAAAGTGAACCGACATTTATCCGTCCGACGCAAAATGCCAAAACGAAACTAATAGTCCTTCGGGATTCAAATCCCTTTGGACTAATAATAATAATAATAAATAAAAGCTAATATAATAATAATAATAAATAAATAAATAAAAGCTAATAATAAATAAATAAATAAATAAATAAAAGCTAATATATAAAAAAAATTCTGTTACAGAAATATGAATTGAAAGAAAAGAATAATCGTTAAAAAATATATCAACTGGCTATATTTTAAAACAGCTGATGTAATAACTATGCTTCTCAATATTATACGTAACCATTTATTGCGGTTATTAAGAGATGCAGCGCCCTCTATACTTTTGATAAAGTGAGCATACAATTGCCCCTCCCCCCGTTTATCATTAGATAAAATATTGCATTTAGCTGTAATGTTCAGGATATATATAGCAATATTTTCTCTTAAATACTTTTCATGTATATAAAAAAAAACTTTCTTTGCTTATTTAATGAAGCTTAAATTTATAAAAGCAAAATAAAAGAAGAAAAAGGAATTTTAAAAAATAGAATTCTCACCATTCAAAACGAAGCCTTACTATCATTATGTTTGACGCGAAATATGCATTTTCTCTCAGTGAACCAGACAGATTAGTAGGGAAATCGTGCTAGTGACCACTGAACAGAACAATGCCATGTAAACTTCAGATGGAGGTCGCGAAAAACCGCTCTTTTCCAAAACTAACATGATTCTCGTGAATTGATTCGATTGCGGTCCGCAAGAGGCCGCTGCGCCCGCAACAAGTTTCATCGGAGCCTGCCGGTGGTTGGTCACTAATTGAATAATCGATTTTGAGCACGTTTGTAGAATTTTGAAATTACGGACCAATTATGAAACTCTAGAATCTTCAAATATCGATATAAGTTTCCTTCTAGTTTAAGTGTGATCTTTTTGATTTTGATTTAAGGATGTTAATTTAACTAGGAAATAAATTCCTTATGAAATCACTTATGACATTTCACCGCAGATTGAGTTGTTGCGCGTTACCACGTGTATAGGAGAATAATAATAAAGAAAGAAAGAAGGCTATTTTATTTGTAAGGCGCAATTTCGCTGGCTTTTAGAAATATGTATCTTAAAAAATGCTGTTCTTAATAATTATACAAATTGTTCGTACTACTACTACCAACGACTGAATATATTACTTTAAAAAATAATATTTAAAAATGTACTTTACTCGTAGAAAATTTTTACAGTAAAACAATTTGGTATTCAGTTTTCATGAGTGTCCATTAATCTGAGATTTGTTTCAGTTCATACAAGTAGCATGTTTGTAATTTCATAATTGTTTAAATTTGAGAAGACAAATGATATAAAACAGGCATTGTCAGACTGGTTCCTTTACCACCCATTAGTGAGCTATTTAAGTTAGGTGCAGCACAAAATATTTGTCAAATGATGAAGATTGAAACCTCTTCACCCGTATATAGATGTCTACATATTATATCATATACATACATATCTACTTGACTGTTACCCTAGGCGTCACGCTTCCCTATTTCCATGTATTTAATGTATAATGATATTATATGATGTAACAGCGTGTGACGTGAGGAGAATTGAGCTTCTTATCCTGCCACTAAACGGTCCCCAGACGGAACAGGTTCCCTGAAACTGATGTTCCGGCTAGCTATGCGGGCCATAAATTTTCTGTTTGTTATAAATATATGCAAAATATAAACAACAGGATAAATTAAACTACATATTTTTTACGAAACTTAAATTAAATTACTTTGCTGTTGTGCTAAATTCAGTTATTGCCTAAACGCTGGGCGGCAACAGAATTTTGTTAACTTCAAAGCGTATAAATAGGTTTATTACCCATAATATGATAGATATGATATACGATTGACGACATAAAACCTGCTGCTACCAAAGTTCGAAATCCTGAAGAGAACTTGTCCATAATTGCTTTAGAACGTTAGGAAGCAGGAATCGTTATGGTAATTAATATTAGCATACGGCAAGCACATTTAAAGAAGAAAATTCGTTTCTTGAAATTTATGAATCCTTTGAAAACGTAGTTTATTAGCAGCTTTATCTTTATTAAAGATTGATTCTTCTCAGTAAGAGATCACATTTAATATTTTTCATAGAAATACAGTGCCAGATACTCATTTATTATTCCATCATCTAGTAGAATTGGATGAGTTCTTACTTAAACAATGTCACTATAATCTACAATATTTCGACACAAAGCAAGCTACGTTTAAATGCATTTTAATAGGAAAATTATTAGATCTTAGATCGTAAAGAATCTTTTTAGAAGATTCAAGAGAAATTCATTGTCTCTGTTATATATAAGAATAATACGTCCCTTCAGATTACAGTTGAAATGTCCAAATGTAGAGTGTCCTGTTTAACTAATTTTTAATTCAATCTAAGTGAATATTCATTAATAATAAGAATGAATAATAAAATAAATAATAAAAGAATACGGGATAAATTATTCAGCTCCTTTTAACTCAATACAAAATTAGTAAAGGTATTTCTTAAAAATTTCAATAAACCAATAATAGGAATCTTATAAGAGGTGTTTAGTGGAAACGACTAAATGTTCCATATTCCACAACTAAAAGTATTTATCAGAAAGCTATTTCAGATTTAATCTCAAATACTTTATTGTTGCATGAAAGAGGTTTGTGTCTCATGGAGGAATGACTCAGCATATTATCAGTCATAATACAACCTGCTTTGTGGGAAGCGAAAAAATGTTGTGCTAAAAAGAATGGCTTAAAGAACACTTAAGGCAGAAATGTTTAATATTTTTGACCACATGCTCTATTCAATCATATAAAATCTCTCCCTTACACCCACATTGCGATGATACACGCGAAAGTAATCAGTAAAATTTCACTTGGGAAAGCATACAAGGAAACAATGCTCCACATTGAAGAACTTTCCTTCTGAGATAAACGCTATCTTAAACGCTAAACTGTTACGTTTGATACATCTAATTTAAAATGTAACAGCCTTTTCTCAGTTTCTTGCAGGAACAGATATTTTTTATTAAAAATTCATTGAGCGGCCTGACTATGAGGTCATTAACTCTTTCATCCTTCAGTACCTGTGCATAGTTTAAGAAAGATATATTTACCAGTGCATAGTTTAAGAAAGTGCAGAGTACATGTCCTAATGAGAATCAGAAACGTCATTATTTAGAAGCAGTGGGTAGATAGAAAAGTCCAAAAATCCTCTTCGGGAAAGATGAGCTTACAACTAATCGTACAGTATTTGATATATGGAACAACGTATCGACTATACGTTTTGGAAAGCCTATGTTTTGTCTTTCTAGTTCCCTCCTAAATAGTCTTCCGGTTTTCATCAACCATATAACTGATTATCTGTTAACTATGGCAAACTAGTTCCGTTTAGGAATGAAAAAGAATTTCCTTAAAGGCTTCTGTAAACTTTTGTAATTTTCTTTGTAAAATAATCCACTGACTAGTAGTTCCAAAGTGTGCAATGATCCTTTAGAGAGACATGAAAGAAAGTTCAAAATGCTTCCACATAGGTAGGCAAGAACATTTCCTGTATTTCGTTAATCTCAAAGAGAATCAGATAAATTAACTACTCTGTGCTAAAATGTTTTACGAACAAATATTCGCTTGAGAGTGACAAAGACAGCTTTCAGTTTTCTGTCAACTGAAGTCATTATCATCACAAATGAAAGTAATGGTGATTAGTGCTTCACCAAATGAAGAACACTCATACATCACTAATGCTAAGAGAGATGGTCCAGTAAATTCGTTTCTTCATTGATACGAAGGAAGAAAGCAAAGCTGTAGCCTATTTATCGTTATCCAAGGAGTACCAGGTTAAGGAGTACTATGTTACACTGCTTGGAAATAGATATTTATTTATTTTTAGCAGTAGCACTTAAACATACGTTCATTGACTAGAATGTGACAAGCATACACAACACAAACACATCAAGAAAAGCTAAAACAGCATGAAAAAGATCATAATGCAAAGTTACAAAATGTCAAAAGACAAAACTCGTCAAACAGACTGGAAGTATTGAAGTCACTCTCTGGCCTGCCAGCATCTACTATATATATATCTAATCACTTCAGAGCATTCTTTGAGATGAGCAGCATCTACAACAGTATCTCTCCCTCAGAATACACAGTTAGGTGACGAATAGATACATGCTCTGCAGATGCAGTGGATTTAGCTTTATCCAAGGAGCATGACGAGGAGATCCACTATATTACATGTTTTAAGAAACGTTTCTGAGTGAATTTGACATTTGACAGGTTACTGAAAAACGCAATTAAATCTTTTAGAGGGGAGGTGTGATGATTTGGTGAACACCACGCATGCGCACTTTAGCCGAACGGCGCGCGATTTTGCCTCTCTCTCACGTGACACAGAGTCGAGATTATAAAATAAGCACGATAATAAACATTACAGGCTGTTCCCAAACGGAATATTAGGTTAATAACTTTATGTAAACTATTTTTCATTTGTTCGTGTTATAACAACATGTTCATCCTATTCATACGTATGCTATATGGAAATGATCACATCAAGTCCACGTTAAATATACCTATAACCCACCTTACGACGGATATATCACTAAACTTCCCAATGGTGATGAATAAATGCATATATCAAAATTATTGGAGGGATTCCAGCCATTAATTTGGGGAAGTACACAATGTGTTTGTAGGAGGAGTATAAAATAAATGTCAGGTACGAGGCCATGAAGGATAAGCCACATTGCAGTAGTGTATGCCATATGGTAGTCATCCATTTGCGTAGGATTTGTGAATGATAAGACAAGCACAAATGAAATTATTATTAGGTTTGGAGCTTATTACACCGAGCAAAAATGAACATGCTCATCCTGTGGAACACCTAACGGAAAAAGGAAGGCTAGCGTTGTAACATGGAAATAACTCGCAGAAAAGAATCACTTCGTTTTAAATATAGAAGTATACTCTAGCAACTGGAAATATGTAGCACGAAAATAATCACATACTTATGGACAGAGAAGTTTCTCTGTAACACCGATAGTAAACACATTGCTGGCTAAGGGCTATTAGTTTCAATAATCAACTTTAGGTGAAAAATTTCAATTAAAACGACTTTTCACTGTTCTGCTTTGAAACTCTTCTTAAGTGATTTACATGATGGTAAATTATCTCATTGGACGATGAGCCTAGCTAAGCAAATATAATAAGAAGCTCCTGTTCAGCTTCTGATGGCAAAGAGGAGGGAAAAGCTGTTATATAAAAGGCACCGGATGGCGAGAACAGGAACTCAATATTTCTATTTTGATTTGATGCTATATATTTAATAAAAAGAGTGAAAACATGATGCTCTGTCTTGAACAATTTTTGCTCCAATTTTGAATAAATTATAGATTTCTTAATAAGTTTCATTGATGGGAAAGTTTACTGCGAGAATCTAACGCAGTTACTATTGCTGAGATTAGGAATCCTACTCAATAAGATTGTCTAGTATAGTTATTAAGATTGTATATGCAAAGAAACTAATCGTGAAAGAAAGACGGAGAAACTGCCTGTGGTTTTCTTTGTAAGCCTATGATCCACTCTGTCTGAAATCAATTTTAAATGTTCTATGAATACTCTGATTGTATTTTACAAGTTTGCAAAAATACTCTTGAGCTCTGAACTTATGATTCTA